GCTTTGTTGTGCATGGTTAGCGGGAAGCTGTGGGCGAGCAGAGCTTGTCGTTAAGAAGTATGCTGTTCCTGCACCTCAGCCACTGCTGCTTCAACCTCCACATCCATTTCTCCCAGAGACACAGTCGCCCTCTCTCTCCCTCACTAACGCTCGCTGAAGTAGATTGATGTGGCCGAGCGACTCCACTGGCAATGTGTTCCGGCCAAACAAATGGCAGAGTAAATGAGTTTTTTACAGGAGAGGCGCGCGGCTGGGGTGAGGGGTGTTAGCAGGAAGTGGAGCGCCGAGAGGTCAAATGTAATTACACAGAACCTGAGCCACCAACGATGGGAGCACTTTGCATTAAGCCACTAATAAACACTTCTCTGAAGGCAAGAGGAACGGTAGAGAAAAGTTAATTTGTGCCTCTTTTCAGCTGCAAAATGAGCTGTGGCTAGAAAACCTGAGGCTGCGTGCAGATATCAGAAGAGTCCATGTTAATTATAGCTGTACGAACCCTGAAACATTCTGAAAAGGTTGCCAGTCTTCTTCTATTGTTCAGATTCAAAGTAACTGCATTTTTGTTCTTTTTGTTATCTTTAGAATAAACTGAAAATTGACTTTTGCAATAGAATTTAACCTCTTATCCAGGACAAGGTCTAGATCTCACATAGCTCAAACCTTTTAGAAAGGATGATCATACACTGATGAGCCATGATGAACAATGGTGCATGTTGTCTGGGATATTTTAGATGGTAAGCGAGCAGCTGGTCCTCGTAGTCACCATTTTGGATGTGTGAGAAAAGAGCAGGTGTGAAGACCTGAGCAACTCTGACAAGGGTTTATAGCCAGACGACTGAGTTGGACCATCTTCAAAATGGCATTATGGTAGAACTTGCTGTTCAGCAGTGGTCAGTACCCTACCAACAGTAGTCCGAGGAGAGGCAAACCACAAACTTGGACAGGGTGTACCAAGCCCAAAGCTCATCAGTGCTCAAGGACAGTGAAGGCTCTCCCATCTGGTCCAAACTGACAGAAGGGCTACTGTGGTACAAGTCAGAAATTTATAATGATGGTTGAGTGAGGAATGTGTCACAATACCCAGTGCATTGCACCCTGCTGCATATGGGGCTGCGGTCAGAGTGCCCCTGTTAACCTCTGTCCACTGTCGAAAGCCCCACAGTGGGCACAGGAGCACTGGAACTGGACTTTGGACAATGGAAGAAGGTCGCCTTGTCTGATGAATGCTGTTTTCTTTTACATCACATGAACAGCTGGGTACGTGCGCTAAGTTTACCTGGGGAAGTGATGGCACCAAGACGCACTGTGGAAAGAAGATGAGCCAGTGGAGGGAGTGTGATGCTCTGGGCAACGTTCTAATAGGAAACTCCGGGTCCGGCATTCATGTTTATGTCAATTTGACATGTGCCACTTACCAACTAACATCACTAACATTGCTGCAGATGAGGATTCTTCTGTGGTATTCCCCAATGGCAGTGGCCTCTTTCAGTAGTATAATGCACCATGCTACTCTGCACACATTGTTCGGGTATGGTTTGAGGAACATGAAAAAGAGTTCAAGGCATTTCCTGGGCATCCAAATTCCCCAGACATAAATCCTATTGAGCATCTATGTGATCTGTTTGAACAACAAGTCCGATCAGCACCAGCTCCTACTTGTGACTTGCAAGGCTTAAAGCATCTGCTGCTCACGTCTTGGTGCTAGATAACACAGGGCACCTTTAGAGATCTTGTAGAGTCCATGCCTCGTCTGAGCTGTTTCGGCAGTCACACTGTTTTGGCTCACTGGTGTATAATACAAGACTTTATATGCCTTATGAGGGCAAAGCCCTTTTCTATCAAGAATACAGAAAGAGAAACAGTCTCAGCATTGAGATGAAAGGTATGGAAGTAAATATTTTCTCTGGCTTTGAACAAAGGAGAAAGAGACTCTCCTTGAGATGTAGTACATTGATTGCATAGTCGTACAACACATCTATATGTATACATTCCAATTTTCTAGAAGATTACAAATCCTAAGACAATAATTATGTCTTAGAATCTTGTAGTTTTTATGAACAAAGAACTGTCCTATTTCAAGTGCTCCTAAATAAACTGCTATGGAACCTAAAGTACTTCTGAAGCAAGCTCTGAAGACACTGCTGATTGACAGTTACAAAACTTTAAGTAGATAGCAACAGACCAAAGAAGCCTCCCACTCCCTCTTTTATGAGCAGATTATTCTCTAGAGCAAAGCACTGAGCCTGAGCTTGACTGAATTTGACAAGAAGAAGGCTGCTGCAGTTTATTATAAAGACTGTAGGACAGAGGAAAATGCAGCTTATGCATTTACAGGAGTGACATATAATGGGGAGCAACTACCCTTGGGGAAAAAAAGGAGTACATGCCCCTATAACACACAGGGCAAGTTATCATGTACCAGTATATTATACAATGAGTATATAGCACATTAACATATCAACAGTGTGACATTCTCAAGCCTGTCAGTCCTCCACTAGCCTCCATTATTCTAAAGCAGGATGGTTTTATTAACCTCTGCTCTAACATGGTACTTTTGGGGCTCTGTGTGGTGCAGGTGAGCATGCGTGCTAACTGGCTGTGTGCTGAGTTTGGCAGAAATCAAAGAGAGAGCTTAAGGACATGCTTCCCCTGGACTGCCCTTGAAGACCGCTGTGATTTTTCTATCCTGCTGAGTTTTAAATATGCCTGGCTTCTCTAACTTCCTCTCCTGCCATGACCTCTCCCCCACACTTCACTATTAAAAATTAAGGCACCAAAAAGGTTCTTTGGGTTCTCTCTTTGGTTCCTTAAAATACATTTTAAATGAAGAATCTTTAAAGGAATATCTATCTGTCGCATCTGTAGTGTGCACTCACTTACCATGGACAATAATATAAGTTTACATTACTTAGCAAAAAGAACAAAAACGTATTGCCTCAAAACACACTGTCCTCTGGCTTTTATTCTAAGTGTCTTGAATTCCATTTTTTTCACTAAGTAAAAGGAAAGGAGTCCAAATTATTGCCTGAGAAAAGCCACCACACACTCGAGACGTGGCACATAGATAAGTAAAACTGAAATCTGCTGTTGTAGACCATTAAAGAAACATTCATTGAACTGATCTCTAAAAAACCAAAGGTGAATCTTCTATAGCATCACTCCAAAGAACGTTTAGAACCTTTCTTTTTAACAGTGTGCCATCAACACTCTCCGTCACCACATACTGTACCACCCAGAGACCACCATTTCGCTTTTTCAATTTCCAGTCAAAACAGCCAATGACTAAGTTATTCAATGTTGGTGTTAAGAAAAAAGCAGGAAACAACCATTTAACACAATTTTATACAAAATTCTCCAACACTAACTACATCAAATCTATCAGCATTTAATTTATACACTTTACTTTTGTGCACCCTGCTACAACTTCCATCCTTCCAGTCTTAAACAAACCAACAAATTACAGCTGTGTGTTAAAGCTGTTCCCAAAGGCGTCACTGTTTCCTTTCAAAGAGACACTAACATTCACACAAGCAACTACCTTTGCAGCTAAGAAGTAGAGAAAATTGGACCCCTAACAACCACAAGTCCTGGTAGACCACAAAACTCTCACCATCAGATAAATAGTACTTTCATCTTTGAGAGATCAAACTCCACTTTTGCTTCAGATCTGAAAAAAAACCCACAAGTGTTTCTGTCCATCCTTCCACTGTGAGAAGGCAACCCAACACTGTGGGTCTGAAAGGATGTGTAGCTGTCAAGAAGCCGCTACTGAGAAATTGAGAAAAAAGAATAATAGGGAAGAAAATTTGCACTAGAACACCAAAACTGGACAACCGAGAGTAAGATTCTCTGGGCTGAGGAATCTAAGTTTCTAATTACTCAGATTAGTGTTTCCCTCTGTAGTCATGAAGGCACACTACTCTCCACGTTTCAGTGCTTTTCTTGCTTTAAAACACCCACTACAACTCAGTAAGGGGTTGTTAATGAGCTTATTAGTTAGATCATTTATGTTGAGAGAGGTGAGAGCACTAAAATGTGCAGAGCAGTGTGCCTCCAGGACCAAAGTTGGGAAACTGACTTTGAGCATGAACAGCAGAAAAGGCAACCAACGTCTAAGACTAAACTTAGGAATTGTTTGCCAGAAACAAGGAAATTTATCGCTGCAGATTTCTTTGAAAAACTGAAAGCAAGTCTCATGAAAATAATGAAATCTGTAATACAGGCAAACTGTGGATAGACGAAACACTGAAAAAACTGATGTCATATTTAGTTGTTGAGTTTTGTCTTTCATTTTTCTCTTTAAATATATGTTTTGTGCTTTTTTCCTGATCCAGAAGAACATATGAGAGAGTGTAATATGTATTGACAGAAGCCAAATCCAACTGCTGACTAATCACAGGCTTGGAGCCCAATGTCTGCACCTACTGACATGTATCTACTCTGTGAGACATATCTCTTTCTCAGTTTATTACTTCCTCTATACATGATTCCCTCCTCCACTCACACTCACAGACCAATTTTTGGCTCTTTCCTTCAGCAATATGCCACACACAGCTGACAAAGAATCCTTTGCTACACTCTGCCAAATTGAGCTTGACTTTCGTCCCCACCTCGGCCAGGCAGTGGGGCCAGTCTGATTGAAAGCACTGATAAAATACATAGAGCCTGTCAGGCAGTGGAGTTCTCTTTTCCTGCTTCAGATTTCTCGCCCAGTGACAGATCCATAGGATTATTCTGGAGTGGAGGAGAGTACAAGCCCGGGCAGTATCTCTGCAGTGTAAAAGAGGGCCATTCATATGCTTCAAAATGAGTCACTGTCACCCAAAACCAGTCCACACTAAAGGCAAGCATTTTCTCTCATGTTTCGAAGGACTTCAACAATGTATGAGGTTATGTTAATGCATGAAGGCTTTAAAAGTACGCACAGCTTGATGAGGAGAGGGGTATTGTTTGCTTCTATTGTGGTTGTGTGCTGGTTTAGGTACGGCAGCAGTACTCACTGTTCTGTTTTGTAGCTGGAGCACCTAGCCAGTGGAATTTTTAGCACCCGATCATTCAGGCCAACAAAAAGAGTCCTGTCGCCATGGAGAATCTGGAGACTCAGGATTGGCTCCCTTACACCAGGGGGGTGGAGCTGCATCTCCTCCAAATAACAACCTTGCAGACTCTTATTGGTGGTGGCTAAAGCCTTGAGAATGGTCCCATACTCTGATTTCACAAAAGACATGATAAAAAATTGAGCTGCAGGTTAGAAATGACTGACACTGCCAACAGTAGTTGATTGTTACTAACAGTGTAAGTAAATTTCAGTTCCTGAACCTAGACTTGTCAAGCATATTTAAAATTTACAGAGGCAATTGTTTAAGGTAAACACTTGCCCCTGCTGGCTGACTCAGCCGCCCTGGGCTACAGTTATGGTCACCTGTGCCGATGTACATGACATGATGCAGAGTGTCCAGGCCCTGCACGATGTCCACCACCAGCTTGGAGAAGCGCACGCTGTCCTGCCACACTAGTGGGTCCACAGACACGGGCTGGACAACGTCATTCATGAGGTAGAGCCGCTGGGCATCCTGCAGGCTTCGCTCAGTGAGGCCCTCGTTGGGCCCTTCATCTTCAATAGTGCCACACTGGAAGATATTTGACAGTGACTTAGGTCAACAGAATAATCTCAGATGTAACCTAGATCCCTAAAAGATGGATGGGGTCATGCTAAAATGCTTAAAAATTGACAGAACAAAAAGTACAATAGTACTGCAATAACCTTTGGTTGTTGTTGTTGTTTTAAGTTTGCTCTTTTTAGTACCTGCAGATGGTATTGTTACAGGGCCAGGGTGATGTATTTTTGTCCAGTGCAGCACACAGCTTAGAATATTTGTTTAGGCAAGGAGATAACAGAAGGTAAAATGAAGTGAAGGTGAGCAGTGTACCTGAAAGTTAGGGATGGGGTTTGGGGTGGGCAGCCAGGTGGAGCGCGGGTTCTCCTGGGAGCGGAATGGCCCGTTGAACGCACGCGTGATGGCACTGAGGTTGTATGCGCAAACTGCAGAGGCAGCAATACTGTTTCTGCACAGTCAACAGAGAAAGAGACAAAATGAGGGGAAAGGAAGAGAGAAAAAGAAAGAGCGACAGAGAGAGAGAGAGAGAGAGAGAGAGAGAGAGAGAGAGAGAGAGAGAGAGAGAGGGAGAGAGAGAGAGAGAGAGAGAGGGTCAAAATGGAAACTGTATGACAGTTTTCATAAGTTTACATGACACCTACATGAGCCGTTCATGACAACAGACATATAAACTATATGCCCAAAAGTATGTGGACACCCCTCCTAGTTAATGAGTTCAGGCATTTCAGTCATACTCATTGCTAACAGATGTATGAATTAAAGCACATCTCCATACACAAATATTGACCCCATAGTGGGTTGTACAGAAGAGCTTAGTAGTTTTAAACATGGCACTGTCAAGATGCCATCACTAATCAGTTCAGGACATATCTGCCCTACTAGATCTGCCCTGGTCAACTGTAAGTAATATTCTTGTGAAATGAAACTGTGTAGAAGCAACAACAGCTGAGCTACAAAGTGGTAGAGCACGCAATCTCACAGTGAAGCCACTGAGTGCTGAATCACCTGTCCTCTGTTTCATCATTAACTACAGAGTTACAAACTGCCTCTGGAAGCAACATCAGCACAAATACTGTGTGTCATGAGCTTCAGAAAATGGTTTACCATGGCTGAGCAGCTGCACATGATCACTATGTGCAATGCCAACCACTGGCTGGAATGGTGTAAAGCACACCACTGGAGCAGTGGAAATGTGCTTTCTGGAGTGAGGAATAACATTTCACCATCTGGCAGTCTGATGGATGGATCTGGGTTTGGTGGAAGCCAGGAGAACACTAATGGAACGCATACAGGAATGCAAATTACAAATTAATAAAAGGGGCACAAATTCCCACAGACATACTCCAAAATCTTGTGGAAAGCCTTTTCAGAAGAGTGGAGGCTGTTACAGCAGCAAAGGGTGGCCAACTCCATATTAATGCATATTAATAATGGTTTTGGAACATCAAACAAGCTCATATAGGTGTGTCCTAATATTTTTGGCCATATAATGTACCTACATAAACATTTATAAAGGCTTATTCCAGTGAGCATCAGTTGCCATGACACTTTTTTGGGGTGAAAGTGCCTAAGCAGACTTCATGACAACTGATGTTTGTGAATGCTTATTTTTAGGGTATGTCAGTTGTTATGAAAGGCTTATGTAGGTGTCATATAGCCTTATGAATGATGCCCTAAAGAAAAGTGTTCCCCAATAATGTAACAGAGACCCACATGAGATGATCCATGAAGTGAGCAACCATACCATTCCCTAGATGCAATCTCTGTATACTGCTAAAAGTAAACTTTGCTGTAGGATTTAAGCTGAGATCCTGTACCAGCAGAGCATATCTAAGCCTCAAGGCTTAATCATGCTGCTCTCCTGATGCTCGCAGCGCCTTAAAACACAGAGCTGCGGGTGAGATTTCCATGTGGAGAATGCAGCTGGAATGAAGCACATACAGCCAAATCCGTTTCACTTGCTCCCACACATTGAGAATAATATATAGGCACTCTCACTGTGAAATGACTGCTGATACTCACTGCTGCTGTTATGTAAATGCCACTGAAACCAGTGTAAACCCCTGCTCATTGCTAACAATGTCATCCTTGCAATCAACTGCTCTGCAGGCACATAATGTGGATAGGAAAATGACTGTTTGAACTTGTGCTTAGTGCATAGTTCCTGAGACGTCAACCTGGAGGAGATGTATTCACATGATTCCTCTAGTAAAGTAATACACTAAAGCTATGTATTTGTACAAAGTGGCAAGTGAGTGAGGTCTTGGATGGAGAAAAAAATAAATCAAGTTTAATCAATATATATATATATATATATATATATATATATATATATATATATATATATACACATATATATTGTCATTTTAAGTAGCACATTGACTTTTATAAGCAGGCTAAAAATCAATTCAATTTAAAGCCAAAACGGTAGCTTATGTAAGCAGAAACCCCAGGACTGTAATTGTTTGTGGTTGCTCTTGGTATCACACTGAAACCAAGCGTGGTCAGAAGAGACCACACACAAATGAGCTGCAATAACTGTGGTCCTACCACTAGAGCCACAGACAGATGGTGCCCACGGCAGAGCTCCAGGAAGCAGTCTGGCCCTGCTGCATGCTGGGGCCTGGAATGGGGGCTGTATGTAGTCTGGAGAGGCACCGACAGAAGCTCCATCAGAGGGCTTAGGCCTGGCCATGCAGCTCCACCGTGGGGACCACATGCTGGGAGTTAGAGTGTGAGGAAAAGGACATGGCCAGCAGGAAAAAGAGGGAGGGCCTGGCAGTGGAGCTCAAAAGCTTGGCAAAGAGAAGAATATGAGCTATATTGGGCCATGATGAGACATAGGCTCTCAACAAGTTAGCCCAAAGCGTAGAACTAGTAGTGCAGATAATGTAGCTAAAGGTACTATAAGCAGGCTTTGACATGAGAATGAAACAACCACAACTCTTTCAAGATACTCTTACTCTTTCATCTTAAACATCTCTGGCTCTTTTTTAGAAACAAAACAGTTTTCTCAGAAAGAGTGCTCTTTTGAAAAAGACCTTTATGATTCATCATAAAGGTTGAATGCCCATTATAGCCTGCTTTAGTAAAAGCAAAAAACAGTTCAACCAAAAAAAAACAAAAGCTGCCTGATCTTCAGCTTCAGCTGTTTTCTACAAAGCTCCAGACTTCTGAGAAACATGTTGGTCAGGTCCCTCTGATAGCAGAAAAGCAGTGTTAATCGGTTCTCTTTCATCATTAGAGTAGTAGAGAGGGAGGAAAAGCAGCAGAAGCAGGCGGCCTCTTGCTCTCTTGCTCTTAGAGATGAGCGAGCCACAGTTTACAGAGCAGGAAGGATTACTTTAACTGCTCCACTCCATTGATTTAATGTTGGGGGTTGGCCTGTGTCCCAGTGATTCAGAGCTACCAACTGTGATGTTCAGCAAGCATTTCTAAATTCAGATTTGTGTGTGTGTAGTACAAGAGACTTCAGTGCAGCCCTAAAGGTAAATTCCATCAATTTTTACAAAATCTGCATAGTCATTAAGATGTAAACAAAGCCATTCAGAGCGGTTTGGTGAGAAATGCACTATTCTAGATCTAAATTCACTCAGTCAGAATTGTTCATATTGGTGGTGATATGAACCAGACATGAAGCATTTAATGCCTTAAAAGTCGCATCACAGAAAACTACTACATGATATAGTTCTGTGTTCGCTGCCGGATTCCTGAGACATTGTTTTCCAACAGTTTTGTGATATGCTTTTGGCCTAAAATATCTCTTTTAAACCACTACAGGGGGTTGTACAGCAAAATAGGAAAACTTTTTTTTTTTTTATGTACCATGAACATTAACATGTAGGTTCACTGTGCATGGTACACATCACCATCCCTTGAAAATCTGAGTTGGTAAGTTTCTCTACAATTCATACAATACAAATCATAGGCCTGTGCTGGTGACATAATCCTCTTATACAGATAACCATGCTGAAAAGTTAGGAACGATGTCAAATTTATGGGAAATAATAACTGGCAGTAAATAAATAAATGAGTAAATGGTGCTAAATGAGTTTTTACAGTCACTGAGGGCTGTTACCATTGTAACTTGGTTAACTGTCACCAGGAACAAACCTAATGCACCATTTCATATCAAGCCACTTTGAATGACTTTGTTTACACCTTAATGATAATGCAGAAATTATGAAAAACAGATGGAATTCCCCTTTAATGCCATTTGTGTTTTGCTGATTTGCTACATTATCCCCTTAAGCTACAGGCTAATTATTTAGCTATTAATCTGAAGACTTACTATTCAGTACATATTATAATTTCCTATTTGAAGCCCAAGTGAATATGCGTAGTCTGTGTTTGTGATTACTTTTGTGACTGCACTTTTTTTCTTAAAGTAGTGGCTGCTTGAGTGAATGTATCATGTATGCGTCGTCTATAGTCCCTTTTGCAAGGGCCAGTATTAGGTTGGTTCGAGGGGAATCCAGCCTACATATGATGCCTGTTGGGCCCACCGTGTGCCAGCCACTCAGCCAGGCAGCAGGAAGTGCCCTCAGCTCACCTACTCCACCATGGCCCAGTCCCACACATGCTCAGTACTGCACCCGACATATGGGAATGAAGTCATCTTACTGTGAGCACAGATGACTACCTGGAGGTTGTCTGAGTGTCATATACACCGTGTGGTTATCCAGGTACAGTACCATACAGTATTTTCACTTTGTTTGGGGACTTGGATGTCACAGACTCAGCATGGTGTAAGGTCACATTAGGACACTGTAAATTACTAAGTTGTTATTGTATGTGTTTTTCATACAAGGGATTTAGTGCTAAAAGCAGGATAACTCTTTTTAAAATGGGGGAGCAGGAAGGGGAAAAACACATTAAGTCTGGCAGTTCAACCTCAACGAATACCTGCATCGCAGCAGAAGCAAAAAGGCCCAGTCAGCAACCTTATGAAGCACGGACACAGGCAGGATTAGCCAGAGATATTTTTACTGCATAACAATGAGTCATGGCACTGGTTAGACGTCACTTTTAGCGAGTGCTGAGACAAAAAGTTTACAAAGGACACTTCCAGAGGAGCTCTCAATTTAGCATTCCTCTCAGTTACCACGCAATGACAAATAAGACAAAACAGCCCCCTTTAAGAGCACTACAGCTGCATGAGCACTGCATGCCATTGCAGGGAATGAGCTGAGAGCACAGAGCTCGCCATGGGGGGCAAAAATCTCATTTCAAGGTGCATTTTGTCTTAATATATTACAGTAAACGAACAGGATGTGCGTGCTTTCACAAAATCCACCCGCTCATGCTTGAGATGGAGGTGCTTAACTGGGAGTTGACACCTACGCATCTGTTTTCCAAAGAAGTTTTTTTCCTCAGCATATTAACTGCCACAAGCTCCCTTTCCACATTTAAATGTGCCTGTGATTGGCAGAGATGACAGCAGTACCTTAAGCTGTTCTTCAAAAATAAGGTAAGAAAAAATTAAATCAAACTCTTTTAAAGGCTTCTTGCCTTCCTGCCTCAGCTAGACTAGACTTCAAAAGTTTGGAATGTGTATTAATAAAAAACAGTCTTTGTCGCAGACACATGTATAAAATGATTATTATATGATGCTAATGTTTTGTAGTTCTCAATTTGTAGGACACTATAAAAAGTGTCTTGATATCTCATACCTTTATTTCAGAAAATAAACCATCAGGTCATTTTTTTGGGTCTAATTTATAATGTATGAACCTAGACCAAGGGTTCTCAACATGTTCCACCTCAAGGCCCACCTATTAATCACTAGAAAGCACAAAAAACTTTTTTGCTTAAAAAATTAGTTCATTATTCGGATACTGAATAATCAGAGCACAGCAGTGACCTATTTTTCTTTGTATTCAAATCTCATTTTAAACATTTTTTTCTCTTTAAATGCATTGTTGATATCAGGACTGTGGTAGTCTGAAATTTTCAGCACAGAGAAATGCACTGCAAGCTTATTTAATACCAGCAAAGAATGCTTCTGCAACAATTTTTTTTTACCAGATGCTTAGGAATGGATGAGGTTGTGTCTTAATTTTGTTTACTATTTGAAAACATTTTAAATTTCTTTCTTATTAAGTCAATAATTGTTTCACTGCTTTCTATGACACAGACTGCTATCATCGGCCATCTAAGGACCACTGACACCCTCTCAGCATAGGCCTGGAGACCACCAGTGGGTGCTTCACAGCCCACTTGTGATCTGGGGCCCAGTGGTTGGTCTGTGTAAGGTATTACTGAACAACAACTACTAATAAGACAAGTGATTCTGAAATTGTGATCGCTGGTGTCCTGTGAACTGTATAAGTAATATAAGCAGTATGAGTAATGAAACGTATGATAAGCAGGTTTGGTGCTGCTGTATGATTAGCATTGTTCATGCACTGATGAAGTGGAGCTTAGTGCTGCAGGGGGGAAAGAGCGCTATAAACACAGCAAGCTCATTATGAGGGGCTGCAGGGCATACAGACCTTTAGGCAGTGATTCACTTAGAGAATAGCGTAACATTGCCAGCTCTGTCCCTAACACTTGGGTGAGCTACTACTTGCAATCCTTTCATTCTCCTTCACTCGCTCTTTCTTCCTTCCTTTCTTTCTCTCTCTCTGCAGTCCATTTTACAACCTCAAATTCCAGAAGGCCACGCTGAAGGTGTTCAATTTACTGCAGACAGATGGAGACACTGTTCTTATGATTGCATTACAAAATCCCATTCCTACGGGGTTGAGAGAGATAGATAGAGAGCAAGACAGGCAGTGTGAGAGAGAGATGCTCTTTCCATTAGCCTCTTAATCAGAAGGTCAAATGGCACAGAGGCACAGCACTCTTTAAAGGAAGACCATTCTTCATTGTCTGCATCATTTCTGCATTTTAGGATCAGCTAATCTACAGTCAGTCACTGGCCTACAGTCCTTGTAGACAACATCCAGCAGCACAAAGTCAATAGCTTTAGAGATACTGCTTCAATCTACTCAAGAGGATGGCGTCACCAGCCCCCAACAACAGTAACACTAGGCTAGAGCTCCATGGTCACAAATCAAAGATATGCCTTGTGCATTAAAAAGATGTACTAACAACAGCACAAGCAAATGGTCACATCAGTGCCATTGTTAGCTTTAATGCTTCTTTACAGGTGTTAAGTGCCTAAATGAATGTGATCAAATGCATTCTTTACACTAATCAACACCCTTAACCTCAGTGCTAGTTTCCACCAGATTTCAACAAATCATTGTTTTGTTGGATCAGTTTAGTCCCAGAGCCAGGCTAAAACAAGACAGTTTCTTTGAGGAGCGCACTCACACATTGGTTGTGAAGATGCCGTAGATGAGGTCCTGCTCAGGCAGGTAGAAGGTGCTCTGGAGCTCGTTGTAGTAAAAGGGAATCTCTCCAGAGCGAGAGCAATTGAGCCGGGCTTTGGTGAAAGTGGTCCACGTGTCCTCCAGCAAGAAGCGGCCACCAATGTCATTCTTACACACGCGGGCCACGCGCGAGTATACCGTCTTCCCACAGTCGTGCTCCACCGCGTTCTCCCTCAGGAAGAAGAAGGTGAAAAGCCCAATGTCATAGGCTGAGATAAACTGAGGCTCTAAGAAAGACAATAAGAAAGAGAGGGAGAAAGAATAATATCATGTCATTAATACAGAAAATCCCACAGGCTAGGATATTGTATGTTTGTATGTACAAAACAGCCTTCAAGTAAGAGGGAAACGCTCAGGGCCTTCTAGGCCTTCTGTGAAATAAATAAATAAATGTGTGTAAATTTTAGTTTAAATTTATTTAATAAAATCATAACTGTTGTATTTAAACTCTGTGAGTGTAGTTGTACACATTGTATTTCAGTGTTAAGTTCTGGTTGAAATTAGGGTTAAATTCTTGAAACACCCAATAAATTTTCCTGATCAGTACTGCAATTTATTTGCAATTTTTGCAGGTTTTCTGATCAATATGCGATTTTAATTGTGATTTTTGCAGGAATGCCACTTAACTGTGGTTGTGATGTCACCGCACATGAGTGTTTGATTGCTTTGTCTCTTTAAATTGTGACTTTTACGTAAAAATAATTATTTTTCAGGCCTATGCCTAACGGAAAGTTGTATAATTAGATGTTTTTTTCCATGGTATCTACATACAACCAAGCAAGCTCTCCTACTGGTTAGGAATTCAGGAGGTGAACAAAAGTCCTAACCACAAACATGATAAGGAACTGACAGAGAAATCAAAAAAGGATGTTTTGATTTCCAATGAATGGGACTAATTATGTGTGTAATGTCTGTTACAAGCTTTAAATAAAATACTGAATGTCTGTGTTCAATCTAGAATGGCCAAAATATTCTCATGTGCACTGCTGTTAGCCTAGTGCTAACATCCTACTAGGATTCCATAAGGACACTAGCAGACAGTAGTATTGTAGAGGTGTTTCAAAAAACATTTTACACAGTCCACCACTTTTTGCAGTGAAATAACAGCAACTAGTTCTGATTTTTTAAAAATCACTACTTCAAAAGCTTCAATTTTTAAAGCTGCCTTTGAGTAAACCAGATTGTATACCCATAAACTGGGGAAAAAGACTCATATCTCAAACAACAAGAGCTTCAGGGTCAGTTTGTATGCCCTGTTTTTATTACTGGTCTGCCATTTTTTGCTGATGTTAGACATTCACAGTGCACCTTTATGACATTCACTGCATGAGTCATAAGTTTAAGGAACAACAAATAAACAGTGCTGTACTGTGAGCTCAGATATTATTAGCCAAATGCTACATCTCCCTCCATCAGATGTGCTTGCCTCCAGGGTCTAGTTAAACTGAGTCACTGCTAGTGATATCAACCTGCAAATAACCATAACCATAAACACAGCTGGGCCCCTTCGCAGCACTTTAAAAAGAACCGGATTACTGTAACGGCAGAAGGAGTGGGATAAGCTTCAATAGCTGTAACTGCCTTTTGATTTGATATCTGAGGCCTAATATACAGCCTCAGCAGGTACAAGCCCCAGACAGCAGCTCACCAGTCACAGCCTGCATTATGAAGGCAGATGCAACATTACTGGCCTTTCTCTATGCATGTAGTGCACAGCTGGAACTGGCAGAATGTAAATGAACTGAGGGTGGGAATACTATTACTCTCATTCGAATCCTGCTGGAGACTCTCTTATGTCCTAAACAATTAAAGACCAAACAAGTATGTGGGCTAGCAAAAAATACACATGCTTTTTCTTACATGTTCGTTTTGCATAAACCTCTATCATCACAAGCATCACAGACATGGCTCTGTGGACACAGCAGTCAGAGAGCTGCACTGAATACCAACTGAGCCAACTACGGACTGTAGTCATTTTTACTTAGGGGTAGGACAACGTTGAATGAATTAACTGAGTAGTTCCTCGTGTTGCAGTTTGAGCAAGCAGTTCCTGGCAGGGTTTTTGCGTATGTGTGGAGGTAGGAGGCACTGTTTATGTGTGTGTGTGTGTGTGTGTGTGTCATATATGTGTGTATGCATGTGTATAACTGTGTAGCTGTGTGGGTGCGAATATGACAAACAGTATTTTTCTACTTCCCTACAGAAAGTAAACAGATTGTCTCATTTCCAGACTGCCGCGCCATCGGGGTCCCTGAGTGTGTGCATTTCAGCTTGTGTCAGAGCCAAGGGATAGCACTAAGCTGGGTGGTGAATTAAGGGCTCTGATTAGCTTCAGAGAGGAAGAAAACACGCCTAGCAGCTTCACAGGTAGCACTGACATCATTGATCATAAGAGATTTAGGAGCCACACCCAGCTCATATTCCAGTCCCATCCCATATCAGTACCGTATTAAAAAGCAGTCAGTCAGCACCTTGTGGGATCACAGTCCAATAACGGGCCAGATGGATTTGATTCAGGACCCCTGAGGTCCGTGACGTCCTTCCCTGACCCCCACCAGAGCAGACTTATGACTAGAAATGAGATTTTAATTCACACTTCATATCCGAAGGGGCCCCTTCACCATGCATCCCACCAACTTTGTGAATAAGCAAGTGCATCTACCATGGGTGACTGCAGCAGAGAGCATATAGCAGACAGAGCGAATGATCAGGTGGGATCATTCACACATGAAATACAGTACTGTGCAAAAATGGACATGTGAAAATAGACAAGTTATTCATTTTCAGGAAATATTTCTGAGTAGATTAGATGTAGAATAATCTACCTCTATAAAAAGGGCAAGGTCAGAGAGAAAATGGGACTCCCAACAACCGTGCAAGACCTGGTAGACCACCACAACGCTCACCATCAGATAAACAGCACATAAAGCTTTCATCTTTAAATGACAGCAAGCTCCACTCTTGCTTCAGATCTGAAAAAATCCACAGGTGTTTCTGTCCATCTTTCCACTGTGAGAAGAAATTCAGCACATGAATCTGAAAGGATGAGTAGCTGTCAAGAAGTTACTGAGAAAAGAAAATAGCTAAAAAAGAAAAAATCCATCAAAAATAAAACTGCAAAATAATGGACTAATATCCCCAGAGCCCAGACTTCAACATCATTGAATGTGTTTGGGATTACTTTGATTATGAGAAGCAGAAAATGCAACCAACTTCTAAGACTGAACTTTGGAGGTGTTAAAAATATCCCTGCAGATTTCTCTGAAAAACTGAAAGTCTCCTGAAAAGAACGGAAGCTGTTTTATAGTCAAAGGGTGGGCACACTAAATATTAAACAGATTGTTGAGGCTTCTGTGTAAAATTCTGTTAAATATATTTATTTCCTTTTTTTTCCTGACACTTAAAAATTAACATCTTTGGCCGTTTTGTCTGGAAATTAATTGAATGAAGAAGTGTGGTCTCTATACAGTTTGTGAATGAATATACATGTTTGTGGACACTTTATCTTCTTTATACTTGATTTTCCCTCTTAGCATATTTTGCAACATCTTCATGATCATCCTTGGTAAGAAGAGCAGGTTTTGCAGGCCATGATTTGGCAGTTTCTTTCCAAACTATTGTTAAAAGCACCTATTGAAAGTCTTTTGCTCCAGAGGTGGTTTAAACACATGACACAACAGGGGGATAAAAAGCATGGGGTACGACATTATTCCCAAGGGACAAAATATTATACTAAGATTTTATCCCAAGTAATTCTCAATATAAAATATTCACAGAATATAAAAGGCAGCTGGTGTTTTTAAAACTGCAAAATAAAAAAATCTTAAATAAAATAGTCAAATACAGTTGTATGCAAAAGTCTGAATACACCTGGTCAAATTATATAATTTGTGGACTTTAATATGGTCTTTTTTTTACACATTTTTGTGCACAATTTCTGTTCTTATATTTTAACATATTGGGAAAAAAACATAAAATATGAAACGGTAAATTCAGCAAATAAGAATTGTAATTAAATTACATTAAAATGTGCACAACTGTGTAACTTGTGGATGTGTACTTATTTTCAATTTGACCAGGGGTGCCCAAACTTTCCCATATGACAGTGTATGTGATGTCAGACAGTGACGTCAGTGCTACCCATTAGGCTGCCAGACCCTGTAATATACGCTTATTTATCCCTCCTCCGTCTCCCTCTCTACCTCTATCTCCTTTTCTCTCCAGCTCCTTCAGATGTTCCCAGAAACACCATGGAGTGCAAGGTGGGTGGTTCGTCTCTGGTGGAGTGGAGCATTGCAGTAGCAATTTCACCCTCTCCCTGCTGCGAGGAATAATTACACCACTGGCTGGCCGAGCTCAGCGCTCCACCCAACTCCTCATGCGCTGTATGCCTGGCCTGCGGTGCTGAATTATCACTGCAGCTCCGGAAGCTTCTCCCTGCTCTTTCTGTCAGTGTCAGGAAGTATATTGTGATGGGGAAGGGGTGCAGCATCAGCAGCCTGGAGTTTATTGACACCTCTTGACTCTTTCAGAAAGCTCACTGAGGCTCATGTGCTCGTGCATGGCTGTCTTTTCCTCTGCCTGACCTGGATTACTGTGAAAAGCTTCTGTTGATGCCAGAGAAATGATTGTGGTGATGCGGCTTTGCGGTTCAGAGCACAGAAAGGGCTGCTGCTCTATAAGGAAGGGTGAGCTTTAACGGCTGCCTCATCCCCAAAGCTCAATACAAACACCATGTAGAGACATGCGACTCATAACTGCTACTTACATCGTAATGTAACATCTGGATATCTGAAATGTTACAGTTTTATACTATACATTATGGAAATATAAGCAATTGCTACAGATAATCCCAGTAATCTTAATGTCAAGAGATCAAGAGGTGGAGTTGAAGTCAAGACCATTAGAGGCAAGACAGAGTGAAGACCGAGACCTGGACAAATCAAGTTATTCAATAGTTAAATCGCCTGATATCAATTATCAATAATCAATAAGTTATTAGTGATCCGTAAGAGAAACAGGCAGTTCAAAATACATTGATTGGATACTGAGTGAGGAGAGCAGGAACTGTTTTATTATGTATGAATGTGTTGATTTTCAATAACGATAGCAAAAAAAGGTTAATGTACCAATCACTGCAGGTAAGGAGGCTTTGCACTTGCTGGTCTTGAGAACAATTTAAGAGTCCTTCTTACCCCAAGCCCGAGACAAGGTGGAGTAAAAATAACACTGAGGCCGAGACAAGTCTGACACCATTAATTTTCAGACTGGACTCAATTACTACAACACAGTGGGAGGTTTTTTATCACACCAGCACTTTTGATTCCATTAGATTCTCAATTATGGACATTGCAATTCAGCAGTAAGGATATTGCGTCACCCAGACAGAAAACAAGTTTTATAGAACATTTCAGTCATACCATTGAGCCATTTGGAGTTGTACTGGGCGGTCCTGAGTGGTGGCATTCTTCCCAGGCTGCGGTAAATGACCGGGTCCCTGCCGGAGAAGTCGATGACCGTGGCAGCGTACAGCTCTCCACTTTCTGTCACCACTGCTGTGGAGTTATGGCGGGGGTCATAGGGGCAGCGTGCCACTCCATTCACTCGCTCCAGCACACTGCTCATATTGCCCACCTGAGATAGAGGAGGCGAGAGAGGAAGAGAGATTGAAAAGAAAGATGGCATCCTTTAACTAGAGATGTTCCAAACTATGGAAACTTGAAAAGACCTGAAAAACAGTAAAATAATGGATGTCCTCTTTACAAAAATGCTTCAGTAATGTCTTTCTCCTTACATTCAGCACTGCTAATGTGCTTCAGTCTCTGAGTCATTACCACCATTGATTACCTCTCTTGTGATGCAAAGAGGCTGGAAGGCGTTGGTGCCGCAGGTCATCACCTCTGTCTTGTTGACCAGTAGCACTCGAATGTAGTTCTGACACTCTGCCTGCAGAGGGAGTTAACACTGTTAGTATATAGCAGTGATGGTTTGGCCCCAATCTGATCTCAAGTTAGCATCCATGAAAATAAACATTACATATGATTTGAAAGCAGTGTTTTTTTACTCAATAAAAGTAACCATTACAAATTATTGAATACTTCTCTCAAAGTGTAATGGGATTACTTTACCCAATTACTGGGAAAGTAATTTCACTACTCATGACTTTACTTTTATGTTACTCTCTAAAACTCACACATGTACCAGCTGTAGAAGAGAAAACCTAAAAGTCCTTTCAGTACTTGATTTAGAAAGAAATAACTAATGACAGAAATAACCAATCCCTGTCTTTGAACAAGAACTGCTGATTAAAAGGATGAAAAGCTGATGCTGTTTGAAAACTGAGAAACAAGCCAGTAGAAACAGTTCAAAAATAGGTGCATCAGCTGTTTTATTTAGGAACAAAATGTAAAGTTTATAGAGCTGTTTTCTGAATGAAATTCTAGCCCGATATTCTAAAGTGAGGCTATGTCCCTCTCTTCTTCAGCACCGGGATCTTTATCCACCAGGTTTATATTAGCATGTTTAGATGCTTTGACAGACTGTTCACTGAGTTTAGGTGCTTCCCAAACTCGCACTGCTCAAATTCACAAAGTTGTGCAGTCTGCTGCCACATTTAGCACACACACACGCAAATTACGTACAAGGTAGGCACGGAAAATCAATACAGGGAATTTAAATTTTAAATGCATCACATAATTTTGTTACAAGGTTATGACATTACTGTAATGCGCTATTATGTTACTCCCAACACTAGTAATAACAATAGTATCTAATAATAGCTAACTTCTGGTCAGACATGTGAGAAATGGAAAGTTTTTTTCCATCTTGGTTATGCATGCATGGAGAGTAAAAGTGGCTGTACTTCAAACAGAGAGGGATGTATGAAGCACTCTGCATAGGTATCAACGTGTCTCGGAGAGAACAGCGCGTGGCATATATCAGGTGCAGAAATTGACAGTGGTTTGTGCTCTCCACTTTAGATGAGAGCGGCTGCCATGTTGGTTTATATTTCATCAATTACTGAACAAGCAATTGGCACATCAGTGCTGACAGAGGGGAAGTCTGGCTTTCGGGGAACTGAGGGAACTGCTATAAACACTTCCATAGTGAAAAGGCCAGGTCATTTTCCTTCAGCATGTTCCTGTCAATAATAGTAAAAAGTTACATGAAAAAAGTCTTCTTCTTTTTTTATTTCTCTTTTTTTTGACTGAAGCCCTGCTGCTATATGAAATTTTAATGTGTTAATCCTACACAGTAACTCTTAAAACTACAGACAGCTAAGATCAGACATGAAGTCCAGGTTTCCCAGAGGAGTCAACATTTTTTTTGCCAGTGCTTTTGAGATAAAAGTGGCACAGCAATCAATCCCGTAAAGCCAGCCATGCACCAAAAAGATCACAGTGCTTATTATCAGCACCACAGACAATGGAGGCTTTGTCTGGTACTCTGGCATGCTAAAGAGAGGAGTATTTTAAGGCCATCATAAACACCTTGCTGATGTCATGCTTTAATTAGCATATTAAAGTTGTTCCTGAGTGCAGAGGTAGGATCAGGTTCTCCTTTTACTTTTCAGCTGAGTTATTAACTATTCACAACAAGCACAGAGTGCAACTCTGTGCTTAAACAATCACTGACTAAGTACACATCACACAGCGTTCTGCTACAAGCCTAAACAATACTCTCTCTTCCAGCCAATGGGCTGCCAGCTTTTTTGAAAGAAACGTTATTATTCAGCAACGAAAGTGGGGGCTCAAAGTTACCTCCGTCTTCCCTTTGCTTTGACAGGACCTCCTGGTGTCTTCGTCTGGGCCCCATTCCGTCGCCTAGGAAACCAAAATAAACGTTGGAAAGTGACTTGCAGCATTCACTGCTGGCCAGCAGCGGTTTAGCACAAGGCAGGTTACACAACAGCAATATTGCATGTAGCCAGATGTATGAAAAGACATGAACCGTATCGGGTATTGTTTATTGCGTAAACAGCATAAATAAGTGGGGCTGCGGTTGAAATGGGTGAGGTAAGGAAACAGTTGGAAGACTAGTCTACATTTGCATGTAAATGCCATCACCTAGTTGCATTCAGGCAAAGAAATCTAGTCTCTTTTCCTTTCACCAGCTCCAGTGTCTCCATTTTCCTCTGCCCAATTATAGCCCTTTAGAGTTAGTCTACCCAGTGTTCAATTATCGCAGCAACACTAAAAAACTGAAACAGTTTTCACTTGATGCTGAAAACCAACGCAACACTCACATTCACACACGCACATACAGTGTATGTAATGTAATGTATATATAGTAATGTATATTTCTGCTTGGCCCAATGTGTGTATATATATTCTGGTGTTTAGCTTATAGCGTAAAAGTGTATGTATGTATGTAACCGTGCAAAATCTTTGGATTTTGGACCACCAAAACTGTCACCATCAGATAAACAGTATTTTAAGCTTTCATCTGTCTTTTAGAGAGAAGAGAAACTCTTGCTCCACTCTTGCTTTAGATGGGCAAAAATCCACAGGTGTTTCGGTCCGTCCTTCCACTTTGAGACGAGACAACTCAACACTATGGGTCTAAAAGGATGTGTAGCTGTCAAGAAGCCATTACAGAGAAAAGGAAATAGACAAAAAAGAACATTTTCACTATAACACTAAAGACTGGCCACAAGGTTTAATGAACTGACAAGTCTACATTTGAGATCTTTAAAAGTAACAAAACACAGTATGTATGCCACCAAACGCAATGAAAATCTCTTTGAACCAGGTTTGGGGATATACAACAACATCTGGAGTTGGTTTTTTATTGAAAACATTATTTGGGCTGAACAGTATAAACAAAGTTTGCTATATCACACGATACCCGCAGGAAAACATTTGACTGGGAAGAAATACATTCTACAGCTAATTGATAATGACCATAACAAGCAAGATAAAGATCAAGATGTATCAAACAAAGAAGCTGCTGGTGTTCTTACAATAGACTGACCATCCCAGAGCCCAGACCTCATCACAATGATGTGTTTGGGATTACTTGGATCGTGAGAAGCAGAAAATGCAACTAACTTCTAAGACGGAACTTGATAAATAAAGCGCGTTCTCTGACTTCTGCATAGTACTGTATGCAGTATGTTTCGTTTTTTTAATGTAAATGTAACATTTTAACTCTGGAATTTACTGCATACATAGGTATCAACTCAATTATTTGTATTTGTCTTACAAACAAATTTCATTTGTTCTTAAACATAAGCATTTAGATTAAAATGTTTTTAAGATCATGCATATTCATAATATGCATAAGTATGTCCAGACATAGATACATATACACACACACACACACACACACACACGCATAAATATATATATATATATATATATATATATATATATATATATATATATATATATATATATATATAGGTTGAAAGCTACTGTCTTTTATTCTCACCCTCTGAGATATCAGAGATTCAAGCCTCACAATCTCCTGGGTATCAGCTCTTGGTTTGGTTTGTCTCTCCTAAAAATAGCCTTTCTGCTTGGCCCAGCGTGTGTGTGAGGGTGGCAAAAGTTGGCATGGATCACAGAATACGTAAGAAACTCTTATGTGTTCCTCGCCATCCGCTCCCTTCCTATTCTCCTCTCCTCGTCTCTATTCTCCTCTGGGCACGGTGCTCACCACTTGGACTTGCTGCACTTAAGGGGTTGTTCTAGCTCTCTAGATAGAGCTGAAAGGTTTAGTTGTCCACAACTCTGCCCACCGTGTCCTGCCATGCTGCGGGTCACTCGGGCCTGGGCATGAGCAGTCGTATAAATGCAGCACAGCAAAAACAGGTCCTAGAAGAAGACTAGATAGCTGAGCGTCAAAGGAAAATAAAAATAGACTCAGCGCTTTGTAAAAATCACCAGTGTTAGTTTGCTCTATAGAGAAAGCAACGTGCCATTTTCAGGCTAAAGAGTAATCAATTTACCATCCTCACAGAGCAATAAGCAAGCAATTAGCATCGGTAATGAAGCTATATTTATCTGTGATTTGATTTGTTTAACATAAGTGTTCCCATATGGGCCAAATAAGAGAGGCTGTATTGGAAAGACTAAGGTGAACAAAGTCAAGGCACTTCAAAACTACAACGACAGAGCAAGAGGCTCTTCAAAAGCTGCCATATCCCTGACGGGCCCTCGTTCAGCAATAACGTCATGGCTCCAGTGTTTTGAATGAAGCTGTCACTTATGCTTTTCACCTCCTCCCTGCTGGCTCTGCTGGCTCTCTCCGCCCCAGCTGTCAGGTACGATGGAGTGATGCCATGCTGAACAGACCCCCACCACTCAGATAAACTGAAAAGCTGTATTTTTCAACATGTTTTGTGTGTGTGTGTTTAGAAGGGGACGTGTGGAGATGGCGGGGGGGTTGTTTGTGACGAATGCCTTTGCAGTGAGTCATAGCTCGGGTCATTACCATCTCGTCTGTGAAGCTGTTTCTAGAAGAATCCGTGAGCTTAACCCTGACCTTAGCCACGGCGGTCCCCCTCTTCTCACCACACTGGAACAATGCCAGCCCTCCATTGCCATTCGCAAAGCGCGTTCTAAGAAGTTGGCCTGTGAAAAGCACACTTTGTGCCATGTTTGGTGAAGGCCACAATGCTGTGCCTGGGACTTTGCCACCCTTGGGGGAGCTATCGTCCACCTGGCAGCCAAGCGGCAATGCTGGCTTTTCACTGGGGGGAGGATGAACTCTGTGAATGGTAAATTCCTCCTGACAAGCGTTACGTTCCGCAGAAAAACAGTGTGATGAGGTAATGTAGATCAAGAGCGCATACCTATAATTATGTAATTGCCTATTCACTAAGTAATGTTGGTAATTAAGGCCTCTGCAGAGACTCTTGAGCTGGATTTGATTTAGTACATGTTGCTTTTATTTGCTGCCTGAAACAAATTTGAGTTGGAAATGATAAACAATAGTTAAAGTTGAAGAAAAATAAATCATAAACACCTTTGTTAGTTACTGGGGATGTAAAAATGCACCTATTTGTCTTTCAAATACAATAATCTACACTAATTTCTTGCCAAATTCTCTGCTTTCAAAGATGAAACTCCAAAACAGATGTATTATTTTTGATATTTATTGTATAAAGTCATATGCAAAAGTTTGAACACCCCTATTCAAATAACATGTTTTGTTAAATGTCTAGATGGAAATAAGTTAACATATCCTCTACTTGGTATAAACTTAAATATGGCATTTTATGCTAATTTTATTGCACTATTGCCTTTGCTTTATTGTGTTTAACATATTGGAAAAAATAAAACATACAATATAAAATGCGTCATAAATTCTGTACAGCCCACATTTTATATTTAATTATTTTTTTCAGCTCAATGAAGAGTAAATAAAGAGTAATTCTCCATTATAATGTGCAGAAGTGTGCTCTCTGTAGAGGATGTGTTCACAAAACATGTAATCTGAACAGAAGTGCTCAAACATTTGCATACAATTGTACATACACTTTGTATTACCAATGTATTTTTAAAAAGAATTCAGAATCATACAAAGATAACTGACCAATCACAATCACAACCCATTCTAAACACTACTTCCTCTGTCAAGGAAAAGCTGCACAGAGTAAATCTGCAGTGAAAACGGTGCTGGGAGTTAATCAGTCAGAATTAGACATTAGCTAGGACAAGAAAAAAATTTTGCTAAGAAAATGTAATTCAGACAAACTTTGCTCTGATCGCCTAAATGGTGGTATAGTTTTCATGTAATTCCTAAAGCTGAGAAAGTTTTGGATTAAACTGTGTTGAAGACCACCCTCAAGTTCAACGTCAGAACTACTAACAAGCAGCTTAAGGTAAGCTTCAGGCTGCTGTATTTGATAATGTAACGGTTGAGGTGAGGAGGTGGGATGCAAATGCGAGTTTCAAATTAAAGTTAGAGTCCAGAAACTGAGTAGAAGTTTGAAAAACAGGCAAGTCCATGACGAAAACAAAGTCAAACTACAAGATGTACAAAACCAAGAGACAAGGAAACACCAACAGAGTAACATCCACAATGCAAGCCAGAGACTGAACAAACACAGGGGTATAAATACACTGAGGGAAAATAAGAAACACCTGGGACTAATGAGGGGTGGAGCATAGACAGGTGGAGCAGATAACAAGGGGGCAGGACCAGGGAGGAGACACAGAACAACAACAAAAGCACATGGTATAAGAAAACAAAGGCACATGGCTACAACAGAGGGGAAGAAACAGACACTCAGAAGGACAAAGGAAGAATCCGTGACAGATAACATTCACTTTATTATTATATCTAATGATAAACAACATTACAGAACAATGTTAAGATCAGCTAAGCCGGGGTTAGTCCTGATTCTCAGTATAGCCGAGTCTGTGCTGGTCGGCTCCAGTCTGCACATTTTAGCGCAGCCGTAGTCGACGCTTGGGAGAGTAAATCGAGTAGTGCGTGAGGGGCACAGACTCAGATTTTTTGCCTCCCAATCACGTTTCAGACCAGTTGGAGTATATAAAACATTTGATTTTTTCACCTTGAGCATAATCTATCAGTGTATACTGGTCAGCAACTCAATTTCAACTGACTCCTCCAACAGCCATTGAAAACTGAGAGGGTGGAAGGCAACTGAAGGCACAAAGATAAAGTAGACTAAACAGGATTTTTCAGTGCTTGCATTTGCAATTAAAACACTTTGTGTAAAGATAAATAATAATATGCTCACGTGTGCCATCATTTGTACTGTTTACAAATGATCCTATAAGCTCTAAGACTCAAGTACAAGACAATGAGTCCTTTCCAGCTTATAACCACGCCCCAACTAGCTCCAGTG